ATTGTTGTTCTTTTTACACACCGTTATAACACATTTTCATATCATCATTTAATTTCTGTTGTGCATATATTGTTGTATAGAAGATATTTTAAGGTGATTCATCAGCTGGAAAACGAAGTTTTATAATAATGGAATGTACGAAAAGTGACCTAAAAAATAGCGCTGACTCGGTAACCCGTGGCCCAATTTTAACAAAACTTGTTTTATTCTGTTTCTATTATCATTTCTCATATTCTATTCATATTTCTATTTTCATATTGTATGCTGTTTTTGCTTTATTTAATTAGTTTTAGTAGAATATAGATAATCAAAGTTTTCTAAAGTGTCAAATTAGTCATGAAAATTAGAAATTAAAAAAATGGACTGGGTTTAAGAACAATTTGTGAACAAAGAGATTGACTGTATAAACAGTTTGAAATAAACAAAAATATAATGTTTTTTAGATTTTAGAAGATAGAAATTTTCACAAAAGTTTCTGTACTATGAAATACATTGAGTGTTAGCTTTACACTAATGTGGAAAGTTGTATATTTGTAGAAGAATAATTTTTAAATTGGTCAGAATTATATAGGAGTCTGAGCTAAATAGAGTATTCATCATATTAAGATGTATTAGATCATTTTAGCACAAGTTTAGCCATACTAAATTAGGCATTTAAAGTTGAAGTTGTTTTGTTTATTAATGAACTTAAAAATAATTTCAGTTTTCCATGAAAAGATATCTGAATTTTGTCAGTGGTGTGTTTGCAGGTAGAGGAAAAGTGAAAAAGCCAGAATGGTGAGTCAGTACAATAGTTTACAATGATAAAAAAACATCAACATTTAATGCCTGATATGTAAATGATGTAAATGTAGTTTAACTCCACAACACTGTTCATTGTGTTACTAAAAATATAATTTGTAGTAAAAGCTGTTAACTAGTGTATGCTTTTATGGGTTATATAGGATGCGTTATGGATTGTTTTCAGTGTGAAGATAAGGATGATTTTTATAGTTTCGAATTATTGGAAGTCCATAACTATTTTCAAGGCACTTGTTTTTTGTTTGAGTAACCAATTTGACATCTTAGAACTTTACTTTTTTTCCCTTAAACCATATCAACCCTGAGTAGTTAAATAGTTTCAAGTTGTAATTCAAATTAAAAATAAGAATTGCATTTTATTATACATGATACTTGTTACAGCATCCTACCTGCTTTGTCTCGTCTGGCTCTTGGAATGGTTGTTCTTGGAGTATTTCAGATAGGAACGTTATTCATTCCAGAACATTACATACTTAGCTCTTTCTTTGAGGTTTGTATCTGCATTTTATTTTTATGCTGAAATCTGCCCATTGTAGTATTACTTAAGTTACTTTTATTTTTAAGTTCATCTAAAAGTAGTCTGGATATCACATATATTATGTAGTAAGTTGTTTAGTATTAACATGAAGGAAAGTTAGCACTAAGACAAATGATTTGAAAATACAAATAGAAATTTTGATTAACACTTTCACTATGGGCACATTTTTATGAGCACATCACTTATTATGGTATACAAATAACTTTGGCATGAAAACGTAGCTAATAATCCAAATGTTAAAAGTGTATGAGTTTTAACTTCTTAATTTTATAAGGCATATTAAAAACAAATCCTGAATTTTTCCCTCATATGAAAATTGTGACATTTTCCTAATTTATTTACCACTTTTTCACGAAGAACAAAATTTAATATAAATTACTCATTATAATGTTGTTATCGATCAGGCAAAGCATAAGTTTTATTGTTTTAAATCTTATTTAGTAACAGAGCCATAAAGTAGAAAATCAGACCCTGCTTTCCATGCCCACCTGGCACATCCTCTCTTTCACAAATAACCAATAGTTCTCTCTGATGTTTAATACTATATCATTTATAACCAATAGAAAGCCAAACTTTTAATTTATCAAATAATGTATTATACTACATTGTTTTCTGTACAGAGAATTGTCTTTCACTTTCAGTTCAAACTTTATACCCATGTGAAACACATCAACGAGTTTAGATGATTTTTTAATGGCTCTTGTCACATAGCTAGAAAGCCAGAAAATTTTGAGAGTTATGGGACAGTGTATGTTTTTTTACAAGTTATTATTCTGTGTTCTTTGATGCATTATTTAACCAAATAGAAATTATTTAGTGTAGTTGTACCATTAGTATAAAATTGTAGGGTTAAGTGTCATTCACAGTCAACAGCTCTAATGAGTAACTAAAATGTAAAAATTTGAAACTTTTTAGGTTGGATTAGATAAAATAATTATAAAAAGTTTTCACAAGCTACACTTGCTAGCAACTCGCAAATAGCCCTAGCCTTATATAACTTGATAGGGTAATGTGAACTTCACGTTCGCCAAGTGATTTACAACTTATATGGGAGCAAATATTAGTTAGGCAAAGTTCTAAAGGCAATAGAATAGTAACATATAAGTATAAACAGTTGTATGCTGTTACAAGTTTAAAGTTATTTAGGATATACAAATGAAGTTTCATGTTACAGTATGAAGCCATTCTAGAAAAAAAAAGGGCAATTTAGATTTAGTTCAAATTGTTTCCATGGTTAGAAGGTCAGTCAAATTGACCAACCTTGTATAGAGTTAGGGTAGAGAAAATAACAGATAAAGTATGTAGTTTTACTGAAAAAAAAACGTTTGAAATTTGTTTAGGAAGTTTTAGAGATTACGCAAATGAAATTTGAGATTTTTAGATGAAGAAAAGTATTTTTCATCTTAACATGAAAATCATTTTGCACTTAGAACAGTCAACACTCTGACTCCTTATATTCGTGGAGAAGTTTTCATTGAAAATACTTTAAAAATTCTGATGTTTTGTTTACAAATTATTCTTTATTCCTACTGAATGCTTGCAAAATTTTGTGAAGATACACAAAACATATTAAAAGTTGTAGTGTGGAAACTATAACGGTCAGTTTGGGGTCATGAGCTCGGTTGATTTGACTAAGACCATATCGAGAGAGTTAAAGTCAGTAATGAAACTAACTTGTGAAATTATCTGGATTTATAATGATGAACAACAGGAACTGCTTAATTCCATTCTCTTGAGAAACATGACTTAAATATCTCCAGTTGCTGAACAACAGGAACAAGTTAACTGCACTCTTACAAGAAACATAGTTTAATTATTTCCAGTTCATGAACAACAGAATAAATTAACTGCACTCTTATGAAAATATAATTTAAATATCTCCAGTTGGTGAACGAGAGGAGTAATCTAACTTATGAAAAAGATGACGTAATTATTTCACGGTGGTAATGATTCAGTGCATCACTAGTAACTTTTCAACACTTAATTTTTTATTTTTAAAATAATGTTACTTACTGTTATATTTTCCTATATTACTAACAATCTGTATAATGTGCAAAGTTATTCACTAAGAGGAACAGGTACTTATAGCATTACACAATCTTTTCTGATTTGATGAGTGAGTCTATTTTCTAATTTCCAGTCTTGAAAGTAGGCAATTGGCAATTCTCCAATCTTATAATAATGTAGAACCAAGTTCAAATTTGAAGGTCAAGATCACTGGCAGTTTTTACAGTTGATAAGAAATGAGGTTAACTGTATTGTAGTTTAGTTTGTGGTTAAGTTATATATACACACTGTTTATTTTGAGGTGTTTTTTTTTTTGTTTTTTTTTTTTGAGTATTCAGAATGTGAACAGTAATTGGTATAAAATGGTGCTGTAAATGAAAAGAAAGAATATATTTCCTGTAATAAAACAACTATCCAATTTTGAACTAAGCTGATAAAAATTTCCCAATAGTTAGGTTAGTATTTTTATAATTCAACCAAAACACCTAAATTTCATTATTAAAAAGATTCTGATTCACTGGATCTGAACTTCTATAGACAATGTTGGATGAAGCTGAAACTAGTGTGGTCTTAAACTTTGTCTGGAAATTAAAAGAAGAGTCAGGAAAAGTCCATAAAAACAGTCATCTGTTGGTAACTTGGGTAAAACTCTTCCTGAAAAAAATATATACATTACTATGTATGTATGTTGGTTAATTTTAATTTTCAGATAGGGCTTTAAATGAAAAAAGTCCATACTCTATGAAATTTTTTACTCTAAGAGTAACTTATTGTTCTTGTTTGTTTAGCATGAAACTTTCTGGAAAAAAATATTTATAATGACATTGTGGGGGAAGATAGTGCTTTACAAATACATAGCCTGCTGGCTTCTTTCTGTAAGTATGACTTTTTTTACACATACTGTAAAAGAAATAAAAAAAATGTGTAGTTTTTAAATTCTTGCATTCTGTATTTGAAATTTTACTTTTACATGATGTGCTGTATTCCAAGAGATATCACAGCTGTTATTTTACGTTATTATAGTATGATTTACTTTACTTAAAATGTTTAAAAAATGCATTAAACATTAATTTTAGTAGTCACGTTTAGAGCTAGGAAACTAGTAGTATTTCTAAATTGAGTAGTACAATGTTCCTCAAACTATGGTACTTACAACAAATAAAAGTGCTGCAAGTCAGTTGCCTTCTCTCTAGTCAGCAGTTCAAAATAAGTAACAGCAGCAGACAGTCTTAATAGCTTTGCCAGAACAAAGATAATGAAAACAAGTTTGGTAGCAATTGATACTGAACTCACATCTAGAGCTAGGCAACTAGCAGTATTTTCAAATTAAGTAGTACAGTGTTCCTCGAACTATGGTACTTACAACAAAAAAAGTGCTACCAGTCATTTGCTTTCTCTCTAGTCAGCAGTTCAAAATAAGTAACAGCGGCAGAGAGTCTTAATAGCTTTGTCAGAACAAAGATAGTTAAAACAAGTTTAGTAGCAATGGATACTAAACTCAAGACCCTTAATCACGCCCCCTACCGATTCTCTAAAGCTGGTCAAACTTCAAAAAAAAAGGAACATAAAAGGCTAAATTCAGATATGATTGCTTACACCCCCTCTCACAGTTACAGCTATTCTCCATTTGACTGCCTTCTAGTGTGCAAATGTTTACATGTCATTAGCCTTGAATTCTCACCCAATTCCACGTGTGTACCATGTGGTTCAGCTGCATTTATGCATGTGAATTAGCATGTGACAAGCCTTCACCAATAGGAGTGCAACGCACCCTCTTATCCCAACTGATTCCCTCTTTGCAGTTTGAACCTAATCTTCACTTCTCAATTTGGCACAACAGTTTAAACACCAAGTACTGGATTTTTCCTTTAGTGCATTTTTGACATTCTGTAGTTACTTTGAATTTTACTTTTCAAAAGTATTGTTTTTAAATCCATGTCTGAGTTTGATTTAATATAGATTGTGTATTCTCTTGCTCACTTGATGTTGGTAGTCTGTCAATATTTTATGAATTCACAATTTACTGTCACGACACTGGCTATCAATGGTACTGTTGATTACCAACCTGTGATGACATCCATATGGGTGGCATTATCAGCAGAGGATGTATCAGCAATAAGTTGATGGGAGATAGCTTTTTTCATGGGAGCCAAAGGGTTTCCCAATCAACAGGAGATTACACCATTGCCCGAAGACTTGGATCAGGATGACATGGTTTTGGACAGTTTGTTCAATTCCCCTTCCTTTACTGTGCTGTACCCTTCTCAGCCTATGTAAGAACCTAGTCTTCCATCACCCATTTTGGACTTGATTTCACAGGTATGTTCTGTTTTGTCATTTTTACCAGTGTCATATGATCCCCTCCTTATTAGCCAAATCACCTAGTTCTGTGTTTTTTGTTCTTCCCCTCTACCTGATATGGGGTCCATGCAGTCAGATTTGCAGAGCATTTCATTGCAGAGGTTAGTATGTCACTCCCCCCCACACACTACAAAAGCTCATGCACTTGCTTATCATCATGCTGCAAATCCATTTTTGGATTGTCAACATTTGGAATCTCTTCTTCCCCATTGTGGTTTGGACCCTGATACTTTTGTGTGTTTTTCCCAGGCACAATTTGCCCATCTACATTTATGCTTTACAACACTCTGTCATTATTTGCCGTCTATCCATCTGTTGTCTGAGGCTTTCTGTCATTCTTCCAGGGTTTTTTTTTGGCAGAATTCTGCACACTCGTACTTATGCCATTGTACAAATTGTCTTCTTCTGCTGTGTCTTTTCACACTTGGCTCCTGCTGCTGGGATCTTTTGAGTTGGGATGCATTATTAATACATGTATCTTTCCCCACTTCTTTGAATGATCTTCTGGCAGCTCCTTTTCTTCAATCAATGGTGTTTGGTGGGTTACCAGTCACTATGGTGTCTTGTGTGGAATCTACCAGATTACACACTTCCTTGTCTTCCCTTACTTCCCAACCTTCTCCTTCTCCAGTTCCCATTTCCTGTCCTCCTCCTTTACCAGTTCCTACTTCCTGAACCATGTCTACATGTTGTACCATTGTTCACTGATGTCCTGCTAGGTGTCAGTGGTACTGGTGACTACTCTAAGGTTTCAGGTCCAGTGGGGAGCGAATTAGCTCATTTCTCAGGGATGTGGTAGAACCTTACCACCAATCCTTGTGTTCTTTGAGTTTTATCAAGAGGATTTTTCCCTCCTCTCTTATTCTCTATTCTGGTTCCTTCTTCCCCTCAAGATCTTGTCTCTCACCAGCATCTCTTGGAAGCAGTTCAGCAACTTTTTGGACAGGTGTCTCCTGTTCTTCCATGATTTTATTTCCAACTCTTTGTAATCCCCAAGAAGATCAAGGATTGGTGCCCTGTTTTCAATCTCTTCTGTCTGAATCGCTTTCACGACATGCCTTGATTAACCATGGAATCTTACCCATCTCTCAAATGGGTTTTTTTCCAGGCTTTGGATGATGAGATTCGATGTGCCTGATACTTATTTCCACATCCCTATTGTTCAAGCTTCATATTGTTATCCACAAGGACCACGTTTATCAATTTCAAGTTAGTTTCGGCACCTTATGTTTTCTGTGGGGAGGTCTGGTTGTTTGCCCAATTCCTTCATTCTCATGGACTCAATTCTCATCATTATATGGACCACTGGCTTCTTCTGACTCCATCTTTTGCAGAGTCTTCTACCCACATCCAACTTTTTCTTAGGGGAGTTGCTTGGATTATCAAGGTGTAGAAGTCCGTTGTCATCCCTCACTCAATATCTTGTTCATCTGGATATTTTTCAATGCACACACCCAGCCTTCACCTCTTCAGCTGTGAGCCATGGAGTTTTTAGTTCAGAGGGAATGATCAACCTGGTCTCTGGAGGCTCTTATCCTGGGCTGTGCTCACATGCGTGCTTTGCAGTGGGTACTACAAGACCAATGAAACCTCATCAGGGGCCCTCTGGATTTCCAAATTTCCCTTCCTGCTTCCCTTCAGTCTGACTTCCTATGGTGATTAGACAGGGACAAAGTTAAAGTGGGATTACTTATTCTTCCTCCCCATCCGGATATTCATATTTTCACAGACACTTTGTTGTCAGGAATGGGGGCTAACTGCAATATCCAGGAGATTACAGGTCTTTGGTCTTGTGGGAAGTTAGGTCTTCAGATCAACTTTTTGGTACTCTTTGCTGTTCATCAAGCAATAGTTCATTTTCTGTCATGCCCCCCAGGCATGACAGTGATGATTCATTCCAAGAACTTGACAGTTGTCTTTTACATCACCAGACAAGGGGCACTCGATCCCAGTCCCCTTATTCCCATACTCTGGATCTCCCTTTTTGGGCTAACAGCCATCAAATTCGTTTGCTGGCTTGTCACATGCCGGGTGCCCTAAATCTTGTCGCAAATTGTTTGTCGTGTCCTGACAAGATTCTACTCTTGGGGTGGTGTCTCAATCTTCAGGTATTCAGATGGCTATGTTCTCAGTTGAATACTCACCAATTGGATGCATTTACAACCCATTTAGATACCAAACTTCCTCTTTTTTTTGTCCCCTGTACCACATCCTTTGGACTTGGCTGAGAGTGAATTCAGCCAGGAGTGGAAGGATCTTTTCCTATATGCATATCCTCCCATCTCTCTTCTGCCTCGTGTGATTTCTCTCATCCAATCCACTCTGTGTTGAGTCCTTCTTGTGGCTACTTTTTGGCCAGTGCAGCCATGATTCCCATTCCTGGACCAACTTCAATTACCTCTTCATCTCTCCCAATCCCTCCTTCAACAACCTCACTCAGGGGTACTTCATCCCTCTGTTCCCACCCTTTGGCTTCTTGCATGGCTTTTGTTAGGTCCATTGCAAGGAGCTTGGGATTATACACATGTGTAGTATTCCTGTTGGCTCATACTGCCCTTTCCTCATCTATGTCCTTATATTAATGGACATGGAAAATTATCCAGCATGGATTTTCCCCTTTCCTCAAGTATCAGAATTTGTACATGGTTATTTGACAAAGGTCTGTTTCAATCATTGCAGGATATCGACTAGCTCTATCATCTACCTTCCATTTTGCCTGTTTTTGCCATGTGTTTTCCTCTCCCCTATTTGTTCCAGTCTGTTTGTGCCTATCATCATTTTCATACCACTCACATGGTGGATTGAAATCTAAATGTAGTTTTCCATATCCTCCCCTTGAACTGCTAGCATCATGATCTCTGTACTTCCTTTTCTTGGAAACATATTTCCTTCTCCTATTGATTTATAGATATCACAGGTCAGACTTGTTCGCCATCAATGTCCACCGCATTTTGTACCACAAAACGTTTTTTTGTATTCAGACCGCTCCTTCTTCCCCAAAACATTGGCTGCCAGTAACAGTAATTTTGCCTTCACTGCTATGTCCCTTCCATCCATATCCCATATTTACTCCTGCTCTGATCCAGATCGTCTCTTGTGTCTGGTCCATGCTTTAAGATGTTATATGTTGCATGCAGCTCCCTTCCATGGTTCTAGCTTCTGTTTGTTTATCCATTGAAATCTGTCCATTTCCCTACTGGTTAGGTTCATCAGGTTATTCGTATTGCATACCCTCCCTTTCTTCTGAATCTTCCTAATTGTTTTGTCTCATCCCATCAAACCCTTACAAAGTTCTTGGCTGCTCAATCCCCTGTTGTCCTCTGGAAGACAATATCCAGACCAGCAGGTGAACCACTCCCTACACTTTTGTGTCGCATTACCTACATCATCTTGCAGTTTACTGCTAAGCCAGATATCTTCCTTCTCTGGCCATTCTACACATGGCATTACAACTATGAATGGATAAGTTTGTTTGTTTCATTTTCTTTGAGATCAGTGGCCTCCTTCACATGTTATGGATCCCATAAGATCTATCACGCTCACAGTTGAGATGGTATGTTCCACAAGACTGCTTGCAAGTTCATCCTTGGGGTGTATTGCATCATAATTATGTTCGTACCAGACTGTACACTCACGTAATAACACGAATAAAGCAGACAGAGATTGCTGCCCATCTTCAACGTTCCTTCTGTTATTGGGAACAGTCTGCTTTTCAAAATAGAGTTTTGTAGTCACCATTTGCATTTTCTCCAGTGATGTGTTTCTTCAGACTCTCCAATGCATTTTTCACCCCTTTCTTCCAGTGGAGTATGAGAGTCCTTACCACTTACCAGCTCCTAACCACTGGGGTGGTGGATCATAGAGAAATCCTCTTGAGTGTGCAAAATTCCACTGAGTTGAGAGCAGGGCTTTGGTTTTTTACCTGTGTAGAAAGCATGACTATCATCCTGCTGCGGGTCTGACTTTTTATGCCAAATGCTGCAGGTCTTGAATGGATTTCTCCATCAGTGTTACAATTCACCCCTCTGGCAGGAAATCCTCTCTCCTACCACCAGCACACAAATTGGTTTACATTTTCGGAACAGATGCTCCTCTTCCTTTCTGGTTCCTACCTTCCTCCTACTGGTTGAATTCCTCCTGGTGACACTGGTCTGGACTGGAGTTGACCTCCTGATTACAGTCCGACGTGCCCTAGCTACTCTACACTCATTCCTCTTCTGTTTGGATTTGGGATAGACAACACCAGTTGGCTCCACTTGGGTGAATGGTTTACCTGATTCAGATGTGGTGCATTCACCCACGGATGTGTTTCCTCTACATAGTGGTGACATATTCCATGGGTGCTCATCTAGATAATTTTACACCAGGGATTCTAGCTGTAACTCAGCAGAAATAAGTAATCTTATTGGAAGTTAATATTTTCTTACACTGAAAATATATTTCCAATAAATATTTACCTCCCCTCACTCTTCTAACCCATCCTCCACACTTCTAGTGTTGTTTTACATGCATAATCTCGAAGTGAAGATTGGGTTCAAACTGCATAGAGTGAGTTAGGTACAATTGGAGGGTGGGTTGCACTCCTATTGGTGGAGAGTTTTTGCATGCTTAAATGCAGCTGAACCATGTGATATACACATGGAATTAGATGGGATTCAAGGAAAGTGGCAAGTGAATATTTGTACACTGGAGAATAGCTGTAACTGTGAGAGGAGGTATGTTGCTATCAGAAATATATTTTCAGTATTGGAAAATATTAACATTAGGCAGAGTACAGATAACCCATTATGTAGCTTTATGCATTGTGCATACAAACATAATAACAATATTTTAATTTTTTAGATATTTGGAATAATTCAAAACAGTAATAATCAGAAGCTCTAATTTTGATTAGTTTATGTGACACTAATTGATATGATTACTGCTCTTAGGTAACCAATTATGTCAATGAATTGATTAAATTGCCCAGCTCTAGCCATATTAATGGTGATATTTTTGGTGATTTTGTGTTTCATTTTTCAATATAGCTAAAAAAATTTTATGATAATTCCTTCTTCAGTTTTATCTTCATCAAAAACTAGAGCTAGGTGATTAACTCAATTAATCACTAACCTATGTGAAAATATATTGTCAAAAAAATAATCAACTAATTAGAATTTGTGTGTTTAATTGCTATTGTTGTAGAATATTTCAACTACAGGTCTCCCTCGATTTACGAATGTTTGGTTTACATTTGTTTGCTATAACGTAATTAACTTTTATGGGCATGTTTTTGTATTTGCATTCTCATTTTTCACTATAACAAAAATTTGCCTGTTACAAAACAATTTTTCAATATTATGAAATTCAAATAGCTAAAAGGCTATTTTATTTTTCTTATTATAGTGGAAGAAAATGTTTCGTAAGTGTGGCCAAAAACTTTGAGTCAGAAATGCCTCCCCTATTTTTACATCTAAAATAATGGGGAAGGCTTTTTCAATTTACATTTTTTGTTATATGTTACATTCTCCAAGAAAGTATTGCTTGCCTAAATCGAGGGATACCTCTATCCAAGTAGTTGAAAAATTGCCATTATGATTTCTTGTTATCTATTTTTGATTAATTCAAGGTTGTTCAGCTTAATCAATTAGTGTTTCTGATTATTACTATTTTTAATTATTCGTCTCATGTGAGAATAAGAGATTAGTATAATGTGAGTAATAAGTCCAACAATTAATCACTTATAAAATTCCACTAATCACCTAGCTTTATCACAAACTTAAGAATATATTTTCTGCTTACCAAACTGCAACTTAAAAAATCTAACAAAGATGCAAAACAAAACAAAATCAACTTATTTTTATGGATGAATGGTGGAAGGAGTTGAAAATGCCTTAAATAAACCTCCCAAGCTGTAATGTTTTTAGTGTTTTGTTTTTATTTCTTTTCTTTTTTGTTGTTTCAACACCAAGCTTCTCCATAGGAGAAGAGATGCAAATAAATTAAAGTCAATATTTAATCATTAATCCTTTCTTTATAGAGAATTTCTCATTTGATGGGTAAACTCGTTCAGTGATTATGAACTAGTCGACTTATTCAAGAAAGTAAAAGTGTTAACTACGTGACTGAATTTAATATTATCTAACAAGTCTATTAGTCTTGGAAGAGAGAGCTAACATAAAAATGCCCTCTTAGAATTTAAATCTGAGCATGACAGATGATAATGTCATTATAGAGGCTTCAATTATTTTGAATGTTAGCTGCTATTTTGCATAAATTATGGGATTTTGCTAAAAATATTAGTCTGACATGACTTATTTTCATTTATTTGAAGTCACAGCTGAAGAAACTGTTTATCCTACATAAAACCAAAGAATTTTATATTACATTTTACTATTATAACAGTAAAGAACAAACATAGATGTTTGTTACTGATTTATTTTTCTTTGTATGTTTTCCAATCATAACCAAGTTAAACACTTAAACATGCCTTAAACACATGCCTTTTCTCAGGAAGGTAGCTGTATTATGGCTGGGTTAACATATAATGGACAAGATGAACAAGGTAATGACCTGTGGGATGGCTGTTGCAATGTAAAATTGTGGGAGTATGAGAAGACCTCTAACTTTGATGGAGTGATTAAATCATTTAATATTAACACCAATCTTTGGGTTGCTCAGTGAGTATAGTTTCATTGTTTCTTACTTTCACCTTAGTAAGTAAAATAGCTTTAGTGTAAGTTCTATAGTTATGAAAGCATAATAAGTAAAATGTAGGTTTAGCCTTTTGGATACAAGTGGATCAATGTGCGCATGTCATGGCATTTTACGATAGTGTGTTCAAAATCTAATTAATTAACTTTATTATTAATCTATGTTAACTCTCTCAAGATGGACTTGGTCTAGTTGACCAACCACGACTTCTTTGAACTCATTTAAAGTCTTTATAGTTTTGATACTACTTTCTTTTAATATAGTTAGTAGTATCAAATTTGGCACACTTTCAGTAAACATTATAAATCTTTCACATACAAAAAAAATTATTTTTAGTGGAGTATTTTTATTGTATTATTATTATTTATTTTACCTAATCTAACTTTACTAACCTAAAGATATTCCTATTTTTACCATTTACTTACTTTTATAATAATAAATAAAGAATAAACATGAAAAACAAAGAAATAAAGTACTTACATGAGTTTTTTGCTGTTAACCATTGATGACACTTAACCCTACTTTTTTATACTTATGGTAGTAATGCACTAAATAATTTTTATTTAATTACATAATGCACCAAAGAACATAGAATAATAACATGCAAAAAGCAGACAATTTCCTCTACCTACCAAATTTTTCTGGCTTTCTAACTATGCAACAAGAGCCGTTACAGATTCATCCAAATTAGTTATTGCCTTTCCTGTGTGAATGAAGATTGTACTAACAGAGAAAATGACAATTCTCTGTTCAGAAAACAATGTAATAAAATACATCATTTGATAGATGAAAACCTTGGCTTTCTATTAGTTATACATAATATAGCATTAAGAGTAAGAGAGAACTATTAATAAAACCTGAAAGAGAGGATGTGACAGGTGGGCGTGGCAAGAGGGGGTCTCATTTTCTATGTGATGGCTCTGTAACTTAACAGGATTCAAGGCTATAAAATTTATGGTTTGTCTGAGTAAAGACGATTCTATAGTGAGTAATTTACATTAAGTTTCCAACTTATTGGAGAGGTAATGAATAAAAAGGAGAAGAGTACATGCCTAGAGAAAATATGTCACATTTCTCACACTAGAGGAAATTCAGGATTTTTTAAATATTGGCTTATAAAATTAAGAACTTAAAACTTATATACCATTAAAATATGAATTATTGGCTATGATTTTATTCTTTCCAATTGGTATAACATGAACAAAAAGTAGTTTAATAAAATTTTGAAAGTAAGTCTGTAAAACCTTGTGACATCTATCAAAGAAAACTACATTTTCTTTATGTTATACCAATATGTATAGCATAAAAACTTAGCTAATAATCCGTATTTTAATAATATATAAATTTTAATTTCATAATTTTATAAGGCAATATTAAACAAAATCCTGAATTTCCCCTAGGGTGAGAAATGTAACTTATTTTCTATAGACATCCACTCTTCTCTAAGTATGAAACTTAATGTAAATTACTCACTACAAAATCATCATTGCTGAGACAAAGCATAATTTTTATAGCCTTCAATTTTGTTTGGTTACAGAGCCATCAAATACAAAATCAGACCCCTCTTGCCACACCCATCTGTCACATCCTCTCTTTCAAGATTTGTTAATAATTCTCTCTTACATTTAGTTCTATATTATTTATAACGAATAGAAAACCAAAGTTTTCATCTGTCAAATGATGACATATTACGTTGTTTTCTGAACAGATAATTGTCAACTTCTCTTTTAGATTGGATGAATTTGTAACATCTCTTTTTGCATAGATAGAAAGCCAGAAAAATTTTAATAGTTAGGGGAAATTGTCTGTTTTTTGCATGTTATTATTCTATGTTCTTTGATACAATATTTAATTAAATAAAAATTATTTAGTGCACTACTACCATTAGTATAAAAAAGTTTGAAAAAAAAGGAAGGTCCAGGTAAGTACTTTATTTCTTGTTTTCAAAGTGTATTCTTTATTTATGATTATAAAAGTAACTAAAATGTTAAAATAGGGATATCTTTGGGTTAGTTAAAGTTAGATTAGATAAAATAATTGACAGTAATATAAGTATAATGAAGACATGCACACAAGCATCTTGTGATTAATGTAATTCGATAGTGTAGTGTGAGCTCCATGTTCACCAAGTAACTTAAAATGGCACAAATAGTATAGCTAGACATGGTACAAAGGGCAATAAAACAATAAAATTTAATTATAAATAGATGTATACTGTTATGTGTTTAAAGTTACTTAGGATAAACAAGTGTAGTTTGATGTTACAATTTGAAGTAGTTCCAGAAATTAAAAAAGGACAACTTAGATTTTTGGGGGGGTTACGAGGTTGGTCAATTTGACCAAACTCGTATAGAGTTAGGGTAGAGAAAATAACAGATAAAATATAAAGTTTTACTAAAAACAAACATTTGAAATGTATTTAGGAGGTTTTAGAGATTACACAAATGATTTTTGAGATAAAGAAAAGTATTTTTAATCTCAACATGAAAATCACTTTACATACGGTCTATTTAAAACAAATACTCAATATATTCATGGACAAATTCTTTTTTTGGTTTAGTAATAATACTTCTAAATAGTATGATTTTTTATATGTGAAGTACTTGTATTGTTTACTGAAAATTTTGTGAAGATATATGTACCATATTAAAAGTTAGTAGTATCAAAACTATAAGGACTTTAAATGAGTACAAAGTGGTCATGTGGTTGGTCAATGTGACCAAGCCTGTGTCGATATAGGTAACATACTTTGCAGTTTTCATGATTTTAAAAAATTGTTTCATTCACAAATGTTCTATAAATACATTTGCCTTAAAATGGCAAATATGTGCAAGTATCAGAAGAAAAGTAATCAAAAACTGAATTACTTTTTTAGGAAGTTTCTTTTAGAATTACTCAAATTTCAACATTATTTATAAAATTGAGACTTATGACACAAAGTAATTACATACACTCAGTTATAGTAGGAAACCTTTTTGTATAATCTTGCTAATATACTTTATGCAAGTTTAATGCCTAAATGTTTTGTAATTTATTACTCATCATAAAGGATGTGTATTGTATTATTTAAAATTTCTTTAACTAGTTCTCTCCTCTTTACTAAATGTTTCTAACATTTTCTCACCCCTCTCTAGATATATTTTCAAACGTTTGAAATTCCTTGGAAACAAGCTACTCTCACAGGCAGCTACTTTGTTGTTCTTGGCACTGTGGCATGGACTCCACTCTGGCTACTATGTATGCTTTTTTAACGAGTTTATGGTCATGAAGATGGAGAAAGATGTAAGTGCATGATATTTTTAAAACTTCATTTGAAACATGTATCACTAATTCAGCAGTTAAAAAAATAATAATGTATGCATTAATTGACAAGTTGTATGTTGTGATCTTCCTCATATTTCACCAGACATAGCTGAGGTTTGTTTTGTGTTGCTGTTTTGAACCTTACAATAAGGAATGACCTGATTACTAAAAATCAAGAAATTGCAGCAAATATTAATCTTATTATTGACAGAAAAGATATAAGCACTTTTAAATTATTTGCTGTATTTTCCCTGCATAAATGATCAGTCTCAAAAAAGTCAACATACAAGTTAACATGCTAAAATGTCACTGCTGGTCAGTGTTATTTTGTTATAGTGGTTGTGTTGAACAGGTATGTAAAATTTATTCATCAAAACAAAATAATAAAAATGCTTTCAGAATTCATTAACACACAGTTGACTTGGATACAATTAAGGCAGATATATGTTTTATATAATTACCTGGCATTAGAGCTGGGCAGTTAGTGATATTTGCTAATTGATTATTACACCATATCCCTTCCAACCTGTACAAGTATAAAAAAATAATAGTAGTAAGAAATTTATTGTGCTACCATCTTGACTTTTTCAACCACTGCATTATTCTGACATGGTATTAATTTCTTAGTTTTCTTATAATTTGATTTGGTTTTGATATGGATATTTCCTACTTGGAAGATAAATTGCTAAAGTTGATTAAATACCACCACTATGAGATTGCCATTGTTTGTTTTTCAGTATTTGGTAATACCACACTGATCTTCTGTAAATCTAGTAAATTGATGATTAAATAATGGAAATATGCTTAACTCTCATTGATTTATTTTTTGGTGGTTATAAGGTTGACCAACCTTGTATAGAATTAGGGTAGAGAAAATAACAGATAAAATATAAAGTTTTACTGAAAATAAACATTTGAAATGTATTTAGGAAGTTTTAGAGATTACACAAATGAAATTTTAGATTTTTCAGATGAAGAAAAGTATTTTTAACCTCGATATATTCATGGACAAATCTTTTTTTAGTTTGTTAAAAATACTTCACTAAAATTTGTATTGCTTTCATTGTTTTTGTTCTTATAACTACACATTACTAGTGACTTTAGTAATAAAATCAATTAGAAAGCCAACAAAATCATTATGAGTAGCTCAGTTGGATTATAATCCAATGATTTCAAAGCTATATCTTTATGTAATGAACTTGATGTGAAAATAAGAACAGTTAACAACAAATTTTTCAAATTTAATAATTAGAATTAAATTGTTATAGTTATGTTTAGAAAAAAATGTCTACACCTGAATTCATATTTTAGTGTTTATAAGTAGGATGCCTGTTTTCAGTTTTTTATTTTCTTTTAAATCGTCACTTATGAAACCATAGCTCTTACATTTTTGCTTATTTTGGACATCAATAATCTGAAAACATCTTTATCATGAAAATTTACCATGGCAACATTTAATTATATTGTTGTATTTATTTAGAAATAATCCATTATTGGCTGAGGCTGTAACTGTATTGACTTAAGCAAAACTGAAACATAAGCTTTTATGGTAACTAATAAATGAATCAAATATATACACTGACATTTAATGTTTCTTTTGGAAACTGTTGGTTGTTTTATTAGCAATTTCTGAAAAAACAAATGGAGGGGGATTGGAACCCCCACCATATCTGTGTCTACTTCTTCAACATTAGATACAGATTTCTGAAAAAATTTGAGGGTTTTCCTCCCCTTGACCCTTCCACTAGATCTGTGCCTGCTTATACAACATAATGCAGTTATGTAATTATGAATTAGAAACATAACACAGAGTAAAAAAACAGTAAATGTACACTTTTTTTTATTTTCAAGTAGCCAGAGAGTTTGTGGAAGGGGGGGGGGGTGCTACCAGTCAATAGCAGATAGCTTTAGTAGCTTTGCAATAACAAAGATTGGATGAGTGAATTAGTGGCAATGGGAATCAAACTCAAAACATTCAAATTAAATAGCATTTTCCCATCTGCCCATAATTTAGTTTTGTGCTTAAGGACAAACATAATGACAATATTTCAATTAGTTGATTATTTTCATGACAGTTGATTTAATTGTAGTTTTGATTGTTGAAATAATAAAAAAAAAGTAATTATTGAAAACACTAATTTTGATTTCTTGAGTATTTTCATGGCATTAGTTGATTAATCAGTTAGTTTATGGGACACTAAACAGTGTAATCTCTACTCATATGTAATTGATTAAATCATTGAGTTTTACCTGGCAATAAATCTGTAATACTAGAAATATTAAAGATACACCTTTGTCTAAGGTTCCTACCATATAAAATTACATGAAAATAGCTGATAAGTGACAAGAGACTTGAAGACCGGAACATGAACCCAGGACCCCTGACTAAGAAGGCCAGTACTCTACCAGTGAGCTATCCAAGAGTACAAACCAGCTCCTTGTTAACCAAAGGTCCTGGGTTGATGTCCTGGTCCTTGATTATATTTTCACTTATTAGTTTTTCCTGCAAGCATTTATTATATTACAAATTGTCCTTTCATTTTTATACATGGTAATATCAATCATCATTTCTTTTTTTTTTTTTTTGTCTACTAATGTATATTTATGCAAGAAAATAATTTCAAACTTCAGGATTTCTTAAATAAATATTATGTTGGTCTACAGTTCTGTATGTCTGTATTTCAGGTGTCTTCCTTAGTAGACAGGATACCAACTATAAAAGCAGTTTTGAGCTCAGGTGCCTTCCAGATTCCATTATATCTTTTAAAGAAGTGTTATGTGCTCTTTGGCATGAGCTATTGTGTAGCACCCTTTGTTCTTTTATCTGCTTCCAGGTGGTTAAAGGTAAATAATCGTAATTCTGCAAGAATGTAACATACAATTGAGTCCGTAATGAATAGTAGAAATAGAAACAACATGTGATGAGAGCATTATGATAGTTTACGGCTTAAACAAGATACCATTATTTTAATGATCTTTGTTAATATCTAACTTGTCCATTTTACCAGTAACTTTAACAGTTATGTCTTGCATATTTGAATCAGTTTTAATATATTGGAGGACTATTCAAAAAACCTAAGTGCTAAACCATGTATGTCCCAAAAAGAAATTAAAACACTTTCTGTATAAGGGATCATTGGCTTCAAGATGAGTGAGTTTAATAAGATTGTTCTGTTCTCTTCCCAGAAAATTAAGCTTTTTTATTCAGTACCAGAACTTATTTAGGTAATGGATCTGAAATGTTATTTTTACACACCTCTGTTTTAAAATTCATAACATAATGTTTCATCAGATGTTTTTATAGGCCTATATTGTTTTTTTTCTGCTTTGCCAACTTAGGTTAGTAGTGTGATATATGAAAGTAAAAATTGATTTCCCGACAAGTATCAGATAGATGGATCCTCTAATAACAGCAGATTGACTCAGGAAATAAGGAGAATAATTCTGAATCTCTTAACTGAGTTTTACTAGTGTATGTGAAATAACTAGACTGGTCAAATTTGGTTGAAATGAATACAATCTTTATTATCAAACAAGCAAAAAGAAAATGCAGTATTGTACTTATGCACACAAAAAATAGTCGCTTCTACTACATTGTGTTTAGCTCCACAGCTTTCTTTCTCTCAGGTAAGACTTCCATCAAACTAAACATGATGATCTTGAAGTAAATCTACTCAGTCTAGTAGAAATGAACTAAGAAAGCATGCCTGAATTCAACAGGTAAGCTTGGTTTCTTTGTCTAGTCGACAACATTACCTCATGACCCTTTGCCCTCTCACAGCATTGATCAGCTGTTACATTTAGACATTGTCAGCTTGGCCAGCAAAAGAAATGAGAACCCGAATGGTATATGCTACTGCAATATCCTCCCTGGCAGAAAAGACATTATCTACTGTAAAGAACAAAGCAACTAGAACAAGCAGTCTCAGTGACTTTCTGTACCATGTTTTTATGTTAAAACTGCATACAAACTAAATAAATGAAAAGTTTTGAAAATTCCTGAATCACTTATGCAGGTAGAAACGTAAGATATGCCTGCCTATCATGCTTTTTCTCCCTTCTCTCTTTCAGGCTTGACCTGAAGCTGACAATTAAATATAACTATAAAACCAGTAACCCTTATCCTTATGACATTGTAAGGAGCATGTTAATTTTACTTCATTCATAAGCATAAGTACAAGCCACCTGGATGTCACAAACCTGTGTAACAAAGATTTACAACTATAAAATAGCTTCTATTTATAAAATTAAATACAGTAAACTACAATAATGAAACCTTTTCACAATGATACATTTTAATTTTAAAAATAACCTAGAGCTGCTCCCCATCCCCTTTGGAGATATATGCAGCCTAACAAAATTCATACAAGAAATTAAGGCCCTTTAATATCAAAACTTGAAAACAGACATCAAAATTAGTTTACTCACATAAAAACAAGAAACATGTACTTAAGAAAAAATTAACTAAATACTGAAAATTAAGCCTGTTAACATAAAATCTATCTTGACTTGTGAATACATGACTTGGTTTTTCTACTTTAACAACTTTTGCTTTTGAGTATAAATTTAATTATACATTTCTTGTTTGTTTTTTTTTTTTTTGTACATTCCATGTATTCCCAAAACACTCACTTAACAGTAGTCACACTGTGTTATGAATTCACAGTTTCAAATAAGGATAACTACAGCTTCAAATACTACTGGCAACCAATAACCCATTCAAATGGCTGCTGGTTCAGTATTGTTGGCCGAGGATGTTTCAGCCTCTTTGTGTTGGGAAATGGCTTCTTTCATGCAGGCCAGAGGATCGCCCAATTAGAGATTGCCATCCCCACCCCATCTTACTGGGGATTTGGAGCAGGACAGCAAGGACTTAGACAGCTTTTTCGTCCTCTCATTTGGTGTGCAATATTGCTCACAATCCATAGAAGCACTTATACTTTCTTCACCATTTTTGAAATTAATATCATGGATATGTTATGTTTTGTCATTGTCAACCATGTGCTATGACCCCTCTCTTTTTTTTGTTAACTGAAGCACCTACTTCTGAGTATTTTGTACTTCCCCCATCTTCTGACATCAGGGTCTATGCAGTGATTTGCGAATAAATTATGACTGGGAGTTAGTATGCCATGCCCCCCATCTACAACAGAAACTCATGCTTTGGGTTTTCATTGTTCAGGTAACCCTTTTTCTGGATGGCCAGTAGTTGGATTCACTTCTTCCCATTTGGGGTTTGGACTATGACACATCTGTTCATATTGCTTCATCCCTCAATTCCCACACTCTGGCTACATGCGTGGCTTTTGTGTGGTTTTTTGCATGGGGTTCCTGGACTTACCACATGAGTAGCATCTCTTATCTCTCATAAAAACCCACCCTTCATCCATGTCTGTGTATCAATGCAATGTTTTTGAGATTGGTCACTAAGGTGTGGATATTCTCCCTCATCACCTTCCCTTCTTTTCTGCATTCTTTACCTGGTTTTTTGACAAGGGTCTGTCTCGATCATTGCTGGTTATAAAGTATCTCTGTTATCTACCTTTAATTTTTTCTGCTACTGCCGTGTATTTTCCTCTCCTATTATTTCCCTTTTTTTTGTTCTATGCATCTACAATGTCATTCTCGTCCCACTCAATTGCCAGATTGAAATCTCATCATTGTCCTCCATGCCCTTTCCCTTCCTTCTTTTGAGCTTTTATGTTGTTCCTTATATCATCAACAGTCAGACATGTTTGTCATTGATGTACATTGCATCCTGTACCATCAAACCTATGTCCTGTTCTATCAAGATCAATCATTCCTTCCCAAAACCTTGGCCACTTGGGATAATAATTTTGCCTTCACTCCTATTTCTCTTTCCTACATCTGACACACATATTTCCATTTGGATTTGGATTGCCTCCTGTGCCCTGTTAATGCTTTACAGTGATACATGGCTCGCACAGCCCCTTTCCATGGCTCCTGATCTCATTGGCTTATCCATTGGAATCAGTCCATTTCACATGATCTTTCCTCCTATTGCTCTAATTGGACGGCTTTTCAAGTCATTTACATTGCATATTCTTCCTTATCTCTCAAATCCCGTCAATTCTTCCATGTCTCATCTCATCAAATCCATCACCTAACCACGTACTTGACAGCTCATTTTCGTCTCCATTGTAGGAGATAATCTAGGTCACCATGTGAACCACTCCCCACACATTTGTGGTTCACTATTTACACCACCTAGCGATTTCCTTCTTAGCCAGATATCATTTTCCCCCTGTCCTTTTTCTGCACACATCGGTCCAACTGTGAGTGGGTATGTTTTCCTTTCTCTCCTTTTTTTTTTTAAGTGGCCTATCTCACTTATTCTAGATCCCACTCTGTTGCAGGTGGTGTCTGTCTAGGTATACTATTATTTAAAATCTGCACAATTAGACCTAACAGGCCTTTAATGTTCACTGCTGAGATGGGGTGTTCCAAGACTGCTTGCAGGTTCATCCTAGCAGAACATAGCTTCATAAATATGTTTGTACTGGACCATACATTCATGGGCTAACATGAGTTAAGCAGAAGGGGATTACTGCCTATCCCTGCTGCTTCTTCAATTGAATAAATCAGGAACAGTCTGCCTTTACAAAATAAATAAGGTTTTGTGGTCACTCATTGCACTTTCTTCAATGGTGTGTTCCTTAGAACTTCTCAATGCACCCCCCCCCACTTCTTCCAGAGGAGTATAAGAGTTCTTACCACTTATCAGCTCCTAGCCACTAAGGTGGTAGATCATGGAAGCATCCTCCTGAGCATGCTTAATTCCACTCAGTTGAGAGTAGAGCAGTGGTATTCTGCCTGCGTAGAAGGCATGATTATCCTCCTGCTGCTGATCAGTATGGCTGTCGGAGCTCAACCAGCCTACATAAGTCCTCACATGTGAGTGGGCTGGGCCCCTCCTCCTATTGTGGACTGGACAGTACGTTTCCAGTGCCACATATTTTTGGACTGGAGTTGACCTTCTAAGTTGCATTTCAAGCTTCTTACTATCATCCAGAAGTCTAATCCCGGGGGTTACTGCCATGAGGTTATGTTGGTTTTGCACACATGATAGCTAAGGCTCTTGGAACAGAGGCTTCTTTTCTCTTCTAGTTCTTATGTCTGAGGTGAATGGTAGAAGGAGGGCCTTCTACCATGCACTGGTCGATTCAATCCTGGTGCCACTGGTTTGGACTGGAGTTGACCTCCCACATATGACCCAATATGCTCTAGCCACTCTACACATATCACACTTCCATGTTCATTTTGGATGTGTCTTCTTTTCCATCCTTTCCATGACACCCCAAGTGTATGTTTTCACATGGGCAGAGAGTATACCTGGTTCATATGTGGTGTATTCTCCCACAAGCAGGTTTTTCCTTCAATGATGACATGCTCCATGGGTACTTTTCAGATGTTTTTGAGGAGAAATCATCTAAGTACATTTTATCCAGTCCCTCCACCTGAACATTGTGGGATTCTAGCTATAACTGTGAGGGTAGGTAAGTAATTGTAATGGGAGTTAATATTTTTCTACATTGGAAATATATTCCAGATAGATTACTCCTTCTGACTTCTTTTTTTGTTGATTTTGTTTTTCATATTAATCTTGGAGAGGATTGGGTTCAACTGCTTAGATGAAGTCAATTATAATAGGAGGGTGTGTTGCACTCTTATTGATGAAGGATTGTTACATGCTCATTTGCATGCTATAAAGCAGCTAAACCACAATAGTATACATGTGGAGTTAGGTGGGAATTTCAAGGCTAATGGTGAGTGAAAAATTGCTCATTAGAGAGCATTCAAATTGAGAATAGCTGTAACTGTGAGAGGACTTATGTATTAGAAATACATTTGCAGTATAGGAAAATATTAACTTTCATAGCCTTCAATCTTATTTAGTTGCAGAGCAATAAAATAGAAAATCAGCTCTCTCTTGCCATGCCCACCTGTTACATCTTCTCTTTCAGAAATTGTGAATATTTCTCTTCAACGTTAACTCTCTCTACATGGGCTCGGTTGAATTGAATGACCATGTGACCACTTTATACATGTTTAAAGTTGTTATAGTTGTTTAAATATAGTATGTTTATATTCACAAAATCAGATTTTTTAGTGAAGTACTTTTAATATACTAAAAGAAATGATTTGTCCTTGAATATATCTAATTTTTTTTTCTATTAGTCTGAGTGCAAAGTGGCTTTCATGTTAAGGTTGAAAATACTTTTCATCATCTCAGAAATCTCAAACTGCATTTGCAATACATCGTAAATACATTTCAAACGTTGTTTTTTCATTAAAATTTATATTCTATCTTTTATTTTCTCTATCCTAACCACCAAAAATAAATCAAGATAAATCTAAATTATCCTTTTTTCTTACTAGGATGACTTGAAATTGTAACATGAAACTACATTTGCTTATCTTAAGTAGCTTTAAACTCATAACATCTATTTATACTTAAATTATTTTGTTTTATTGCCCCTTGAGCCATGTCTAACTACTACTTGCATCATTATAAGTTGTAAATCACTTGGGGAACACGTGGCTTACATTAAGCTATCAAATTACATTACCCATGAGCTACTGCAAGCTGCTCACGTGCATGCCTCATGAAAATTTTTATTATATTATTATTATTATTTATTTTACCTAATCTAACCTTAACTTACCTAAAGAGTTTCCTGTTTTTACATTTTAGTTACTTTTGTAATAATAGATAAAGAACACACATGAAAAACAAGAAAACAATACTTACCTGAGCCTTCTTTTTTTTTGCTGTTGACTGTTAACCCTCCTTTTTTTTATACCAATGGTATTAGTGCTCTAAATAATTTTTATTTAATTAAATATTGCAACATAGAACATAAAATAATTACATGCAAAAAGCAGACAATATCCCATACCTAAAATCATAAATAATATTCATTGTTAAACTGGTACACAATTAAAAACATTTTATTTAGGCCTATCTATGGCCT